AAATGCAACAAAAATTGTTGCACTTCTTTTTCTTTTAAAAATAGCAAAAAAATCACGAGAAGAAAGGTTTATATGTGTTGCACCTTTAATCGGATACATTTAGTAAAGCAGCGATCATTTCAAGCTGCACACAGAAAGTTCTTAATCTAAGACGTGCTATCGAGCCTTCCCGAGGTAGATTTCCAATATTTATTTCTTGTACGGTGGCACTGAATAACTGCTAATTCCGCACTGTATACAAGATTTGACAATAAAATCTTAGAGCAATAAAAAGGTATAGATGAGTCAAGGTTTAATACCTTGGAGTATTGCTTCACTTCTCGTCATCTAACTGTTTATCTAGAAAGCAGCAACTACAATCTTCAACGTGTTAAGAGAATAATTTTTAATCAAAATATTTTGGAGTTCTTGTCGATTGACGGTCCCACACATATATTTGAGAAGGGGCCTAAAAAGAAGCCCATCTTCTTGACAAGCTGCGACTGGAGCGACAAGAGCAAGCAGTTGAGAAGACATTTCGACCGCGTCAACCTCGGTTAAGGACTAAGAAGTCTCTTTATAACGCTGGAAAAACGCAATAATGAGTCTGTTTTGGTGTTAGAATCACAGTTACAGATTAGAAACCAGTGGCGGTGGCATAAGAAGTGGAAGCAGTGCAGTTACACCACATTACTGTTGGTGTACGAATGTTTGAAGGTATATGTAAACAGAGGTAAGAGTTCCGGCATCGGTACATTGTAAATTTTGACAGATTTGAAAGCAGAAGCGTTATCATGGAAAGTAGGAGCGCCACTACTGCGCCACACTACCCCACCGATACGAGCGTTTTAAGATATACATGAACATGTATATAAGCGAGTAGAGATGTTGAAGCCGCCGCTGCCGTCTCCTTCTCTTCGCCGCTTTTCCTATACCTTTTCTGTTGTTCCCTTCCCTTGATTTCCACCCACTCTTTTTTCGCTCCCTACACTGTCTCCTTCGTCAACTTTATTCCAAAAACCAGCTAGCCAATCAGCGCGCTGGGGCCGTCAATCAACAAGAGTGCCAACATTTTTAAACAGAAATTTCAAGTTATGCATTGTCGCATACAGTATTTAAAACTTTTTATTCATTTATCAGCCTTTCGCTTAATTTATTAATGCATAAATCTCACTACTCTTCCGGCCCTGCAGTTCATGCATGTTTAAACGGGTTAAAAGTTCTTTCAGCAGTAACCTCAAGAAATCGGCAAAGAATGGAAGAAGTTCAAAATTTTGACTGAAAAAGCGTACAAGTGGCATAAAATGCCGTTATGAATGAGACAAGCTGAGACTGAAGGAACAAGAATAGAAGTAAAAATGGGGACAGATAAAAATTGTTGTCAGATTGCTTAATTCTAACGACTGTAAATGACTTATGATCTTTTTGAACTTTTACGTCCGACCACCAAACAATAGTAACAAAAATTTTCTTTAAAATTATTCAAGAATAACCTGCATCAAAAAACTGTTTTCACCAAATTGTACCATAAATCTATGAAAAGGAGACTGCTGTTGGAAAACGACGAATTTATTTAAGAAGACCACAAACATGAGACGTCACTGGTTTCACGGTTATACTAAGTTTTTTTAAAGCCGCAGAGGGCGTTAGTGAAAAGAATAAGTGGGAAATGAACATTAAAATAATGGTAATTCAGGTTCGCTGGTGAAGCCCTCTGTATACATAATCGTAGAACTAAATCTTTCTTCTGAAAAAGCTATAGTATGCTATAATATGCCCTTTTGCTGATAAAAGCCTGTAATAAGTGATAAGAAAAAAGTTCTCACGGGTTTATTGAGCAAAGGCCACTACAATCACAAATCACAGTGGCGTCTTTTTTGGCTTTGATAGTCAACAACATCTACTCTGTACAAATTTGCCAGAAATTTTTTGCTGTACTGTAGTTGTTACTGTAGTTATTTGATTTGTTACTGTTATACAGCTGTTAAGATTCGGAATTGATACTTGTTAGTAACATTTAAAGTTGCTGCGAACAGTAAAAACGCTGAAAATATAGCACTTCGAATAATGAAAAAATGAAAGTGTTTCTAATTACTATTTTATTCATATTAGCTGTCACTTGCACGCTGTCCTATAAAATATTATTATACTCACCGCAGTTTACAGCAAGTCATGTCAAATTTAATGGGAACATTGCCGACTATTTGGTTCAAGCAGGACATAATGTGGTATAGCTTTCAAATAGTGATATTTTCTGTTTTTGTGATGCTTCTTCATTTTTGCAACAATTTCTGGTTTTATGAAGAAAAAAATTTTTTATATTTTCAGACTATAATAATGCCAAAAACTTCACCAGATGTTAATATAACAGGAACAAAGTACGCAAAAGTGATCTTTACACCAGGTTCACAAGAATCTCTTCAACTTTTTGGCAGTGAAACATTCACGAAAATGCTTTGGGAAGCAAATTTTGGTCTTTTAACAATGGTTCAAGTATGTTAGCTTTAAAAATTATAGTTTAATCTTTTTGACATAAGGTAAACTATTAAGTCATCTTTTTCACCAAAAATTTTATAAATTTTTAACTAGTTTATTCAAATTTGTTGACTCTCACTTTACCTCTCTCAATACTTATCTTACTCTTTGTTTGTCTTGTAAAAGTTTTTTATAACAAAACATTATTAAAGCTTGACGAACTGAGAGTCGTTTTTGGAAAAACGAAAAAATAAAATTCAATTTTTTTTGTTTTCAACATTATTGCAAAGAAGCATTACGAATCTTGCATGAAAATTTCAATCTTAAATATAAAATTCCTTCTCTTTGCTCTTTTTCTCACTTATTTGACTTAGCAGTAAATTAGTAGTTATGACAAGCAACTGAGATATTTAGAAGAAGAAAGTATTTCAAGAAGCGTTTGTAATGAACTGCAGAAAACTACTAGAGCAAAAAGATTTGTAGAAAGTGTTGAAGAACGAGAAGTACGATTTACTGATAACCGAGTTGTTCGATGCTTGTGCTTTTGGTATGTCCAGTTTGGTTTGGAGTAACAAGTGACAGACACTTTAGCAGTAGGCATCCAGAATTTTTAATAATCTAACATTTATGCTTATCAAAACTACCTGCCTCTGTTGCTTAAAACTGCCATAAAAATATCAAGCATATTAGCAACATTTTTTTGCAAGCCTAAATAAGGATCTGAATTCTCTAACAAACATTTCGAAAATGGCTCACAAATATATATTACATCTTTTTAGGATTAGTAGAAGTTTTCCAGATTCCTGCTCATATCATCATCTGCCCATCGACACTGCTGGATCATATTGCAAACTTGATAGGCATACCGCTGTTTCCCAGCTACGTTCCATGTATATATGTTTTCGCCCTCAATGTATTTAATAAAAAACCATTATTTCTTTTCAAATAAGATTTTTTTAGCCTCAATGGCTCCTTTTATGGATCAAATGAGTTATAAAGAGAGATTTGTAAACTTTTTGATGACTGAAGGAAGTAAACTGCTCTATATTGGTTTAACCGACGCTGAAACGAAACTTTTCAAAGAATTTTATGGGGACGTATTTCCTGATCTTCGCGTATGACATATTCAACTAATGACCTCTCCGAATTAAATTTTCAGCTCAAATTTTTTCAATGTTTTTTACAGGAAATAATAGCGCAAACAACCTTTGTTCTTACAAACGCTGAACCATTGCTAGATTTTCCTCGACCAATAAGTCAAAAAGTCATTCAAATTGCCGGTTTAAGCGAACCAGAAGTCAAGCCGTTAGAAAAGGTGTAAAATTCGATGCAATAGGCACAATTTTTCGACTGTATTTTTGGCTAAGAAAGAATAAATACGAAGTATTCAGAAGTGGAAAAAAATCATGTCAAGGACAGAAAAAGTAGTATTAGTTTCATTTGGCTCTATTGTCCGAAGTTGTGATATGCCTCCGAAAGCAAAGAATGTAATGCTCCACGTATTTTCGGCATTTCCAGATGTGACTTTTATATGGAAATATGAATGCGATGACTTGTCATTAACTGAATACAAAAATGTATTCATTGGAAAGTGGCTGCCACAAAACGATATAATAGGTAACTCTTTTGAATCCGCTTTACTTTAATATTAAAATGTTACCTTAATGATTCTGAGTTACATGTGTATTTTAAAACTCCTGTAAAAATCACGCTTTTTTTACAGGAAAATGAAAAATTGTATCACGGGTTAAGCCCTTTTGAAGTTAATTATAATACTAGATTCACTTCATCTTTCTTACACAGTCATAGCTTGAGGTCATAGAAACTTGAAAGTTTTTATCACACATGGCGGGATGAATAGCATAGTCGAGACAACAAGTATTGGGAAACCAGTGATAGCAGTTCCATTCTTTGCTGACCAGTTCCGTAATGGAATGATGATGAAGCGAATTGGTGTAGGACTTGTTGTTCCTAAAACGGACTTGTTCAACCAAGGAAGCCAACTTCTGGAAGCTTTGAAAGAAGTTTTCAGTAATGACAGGTTTCTTCAGAAGCGATTGCAACTCTTAAGCCATTATCTTTTATTACTGCACCAATGTTGCAAAATTTAACATTTTTTTGACTTTAAGTTATAAAAAGTCTGCGGAAGAGTTGGCCAGGATGATAAAGAAAAAGCCGATGTCCTCAAAGGAGTTACTTATCAAGCACGTCGAGTTTGCTGCAGAATTCGGTCGTCTACCTTTGTGGGATCCTGCTGGAAGAACGATGCCTTTCTACAAATATTACCTTCTTGATATCTTTATGCCAATAATTCTTGCAATGCTCTTAATTTTTATTTTAACTTTTTATTACGCATACCGAATGGTGGCAAAGATGACTTTTACTCGTCAAAAATTTAAAACTGACTAGGTGCAATCTGGGTTTGCAATTTACTAATAAAGTACGTTATTTGAGTTTAACTTATGTTTATTTTCAAGCTTTTTATGATGAGCCTGATCGTTTCAACATATTTAAGGTGCAGAATAGCAAAAAACGAAAGCTCGTTTGTTAACACCGTATAATATTACTTTTGCCAAAATAGTCAATAAGATTTAATAGCATTGAGAACAAGATACTTAAAAAAAATATTTTTGTTTAAAAAATCATGAAAATTTGTTTTTAATCAGCGATAAATTTTAAAATCACTATTCTTCACCAAATATTTTTTAATATATTTTTTAACAGATTTTAAGCAATGTTGCATTTTACCATCATTAGCGATCTTGACAATAAACGGTCTGAATATAAAAATTTGCATCAATAGACTTAGAGGATTTTTGCTTATTTTATGCAACTATATAAAAAAATTAATTTTGCAAGATTATTTATAACAGTCACCTCTTTTGTGGCAGTTTAAGGTGTAATTTAAAACAGACTTGTAACAAATGAAAGAAGTACAACAAGTTAAAACAGATGAACAAAAAATGTAAATTTTAAACTATGGCATACTGATTAAAAACATAATTTTACATGTTTTAAAGAGCCCCAGAAATGTTTTCTTAACGCCAAGCCAGACTGTTGTCGTTGCGCTGTTAATTCAGCTTAAGTTAATAAATAACTAGCCACAAATTTTCATAATTAATTTATTTTCGGCAAACAGTTATTTCTTTTCAACATTATCATTAAGGAAAATTTTCTAGTTCTTAACAAACTGAAATTGTATGTATGTTTTGATTATACCTTTCAACAAAAATTCGCCAAATTTGCGTTATGCTTTCAATTATGCTTTGAAAGCCGAAATTTTTTTCTTGCTTTGTTATCACTTTTCAGGTGTATACGTTCCATGAAACTTTAATTTACTAATTTATATATGCAATTTTCTCTGTTGACAAGTTAAATTGTTCTATAGAGAACATTTAATCTTTTTTTTTGATTGATCTGTTCTGATTTACATTATGCTCTGAACTTCAAAACTAAAATTTTTTTGAAACGTGTTGGAGAACAGACTTTTAATAGCAGTAAAAGTAACTTTTATAAATAGTACAAACTACAAAGAACCGTGTACAGGTCATCACACTTTAAGTTATTTGTTCCCTATAGTTTCTGCTGACGTGAAGTTTTATAGAAAAAAACATGTTTGAAAAAATTTATGAACGAAACTTTATAGTTTACCCTTTTTTGTTACATATGTAAAAAAAATATTCTAGTAAACAACAGAAAGCAAAAGAACAAATTGCCTTTGCTCTTTTCACTTTTGTTTTACTTTTTTTTTTCAAAACAAGTATGTAACCAAAAATCACACATTAAAATTACCTAAAAATGTATTACTTTGAATCGTTTGTTTGTAGAAAAGTTACAACTACAATACTGCAATATTTTATCGTTGAATTATCTAACGAATATTGCTATATTTTACTTGGTTTGACTTTAAACTGACGGATGTAATTGTTATAAAACAGCTACAAAAAGCTTTTTTCTAAATACATAAACACTAACAAGAAATTTTCAAACTCTAAACGATTTAAGAATAAGAGACTTTAGCTTAATACTGGCTTCAGTTGTCTCTAACTTTTAAAGATTTAATATTCGTTCAAGAAAAAGAGACACGCTGATTAAGCTGTTGTTATTCTTCTAGATATAATTACCACTCGAAAACGTGATGACGATTTTCTGCCAGATTAACGCTAAAGTTGATTACCAAAAATTGATGATTCCGGGAGAACATCTTAAGAAACTTTTTTGCTTTGTAAAATAATTCTTCGCTTGTTTAAACCTATACTTTAAATCTTTTGCACAACTGTATTCACTTCCTCTTTACTGTCCAACTTTTTCAAAAAACTAGACATTCTAAATTTAAGCAACAATTTGTCAACCCTACCTTAAAAAAGGTAAATTTAGTATTATTTTTGATTTCTCAAAAAGCACTAAATTAAAGTTTAAAGTCATAAAAATTCTACTATTTTGAACACTTATTTTTAAAGCAGTATTGTCTAAAACTAAAATTACTAAGAAACCAACAACAACATCTCTATTATTTGCAGATCAGTCTTATGACACAAATCTGATATAACATTTTGGTTTTAGTGTAGTTGTTTCGATGCTGTTCTATTTTAAACTACTTATCTTTCGAAAGTTGCAGAGGAAATTCTCAATAATAACAGGTTTGTTGTGAAAAATTAGATAAAAGGCAGTGATCTTTTATTATCTAATTAAGCATTAATGATTTGCACTCAGGTATTAGTTAAACCCTATTTATTTTTTATTCAACAGAGGTGACTTATGACTTTGTTTAAGGTTGAAAAGACAGCAGAATTACTAACCATTATGCTGAGGTAGAAATCACCATTTCTAAAAGAATTACTAGAAAAATGTACTAAGTGTGATGCTAAATCTGGCAGCTTTCTTTTGAGAAGTTCTGTCAAGAAAGTGACGTCTTTTTACTAAATTTATCGTACTTTGTTGTACTATTTTAATTATCAGTTGCTTAAAAAATTGCTAAATTTTGTTCAAGAATTTAAGGTTGAATAGTTTTACTTAATCCTATTATTTTTTTCTACTATTGTTAATTACTGTCAACATATAAAAAAGAAAGCGGTAAACTTACTTTAAAAAAAATGAGGGCAAAGGGAAATTGTTTGTAAATTATCAGAAGTCATCTGTACTGTAGTGAAGTAAACCAGAGTTTTTGACCCCTCTAGATCAAAAATGGCAGTTATATAATGAAAAAGTTTTTTTACAGTTTTTAAGCAAGCAAAATGACGGTAGCATTCGTATTATTTGTGCCTGTTAGTAACAAGTAATTTGCAGTCATAAAAAATTAGATTGAGCATGGTTTTATCGACTGTTACAAAGAAAAATGTTATATAGAAAAAGCTTTTGTTCGTCTGAGTGACACCTGCTTAAGCTCAGAGCAAAGCAAGCTGTACACTTTTAACTGTCGTTCAGTATGTTTTGCGTCAAAGCTGCTAAAAAACATCTTATTTGATAAATGTGAGTATTTTTCTAATATGCAATATGGTAACTGATATAGAAGATGTATTTTTTGCTTACTAAACCAAGAACTAAAAAATCAGTACTATTTTTAACAGTTTAAAAAAAATAGCTTTGGAAGAAAACCTTAGCAATCATCATTTTAAAAAACTTTTGGTTGTTATAACTTCACATTAATAAATACTAAAAATATCTTACATCTATGAATGAAGTGTTCAACACTGTCTTCATTTTCTGTATTATTCTTCAGTGCAGGTAGCTGAAAGGTGTAAAGTAGATCTAGAATTTCTTACATGCGGAACCACTACGTTAAAAGAAGCTTGAATTATTGATTTGCTTCAAACTTTTTATCAGGCTTTCTCAATCAGTTTCGACAATTATCTGCTTCAAAATAAATAAATAAAACATATGATCAACGGCATTTCTACTTGCTCAAAAATGCGTTGTAAAAAATAAGGTTTTTAACAACAAGTACGCTATAGGACACAAATAAACCACAAAAGATAACGGTTAAGAAAGCAAATTTTTATGTATACTGCAGTGCATAGTTTTGTCGCTGATGACCTGCTTAATATTATCTGATTGTACACTGAGCTGTACATCTATAAAGATGCGATCTAGTAGATACTTTGAAACAGGAAAAGTTTTCTAAAATGCAAAAACAAATTTTTTTTTCTAGTGACTTTTTATTTAATGTTGCAAATTCGCTTACTTATTCTGACAGAATAATCTAAAAAATACGCGGTAATAACCAACAGTCACCTTTTTGAAGTGTAAGTGTGTATTTTGTTGTTTTTTGACTATTTTTTAAACAACATCTATTAATCGTCCAGTGAAAAACAAATGCTTTTTCACCTTCTTCGCATAAAAGTATGTTAGAAAAAATTCTTTGCGGAATGTCACAATGATGTTTCAGCAGCAGCATTTGATGCTAAAGAATACAATGCAGAAAAAGTTTGAAAAGAGAGGAAGCAAAACCTGATAAAAATGAGTTTTAAACATATAAGTTCAAACAATGATAACGAAGTGACCCAGACGATAAGAAACAGCCTTTATAAATTTAGTAAACTATAACCGGTTCAATCACAAAAAACAGCAGCTTGTTGCATATAGTTCTCGCAGAAAACAATATTTACATTTTTCCATTATACTGCTAAACCTTGCCGACACGTGGGGCGTTGCCGTTTTATTTCGCTGTCCTTTGAAAAGTTTAGGAGCAAGTGAAACGATATTCAAAGTTATAATCAAACGGAATAACCTGAGTATTTGAAAACGGCATTAAGAAAATGACGCATAAAATTTGGTTGCTTTTAGCATCATTAGTACTTTTGCCAGCTGCCATTTCCTTCAGAATACTGTCATATTCTCCACAATTCTCGCCAAGCCATGTCAAGTTTATTGGAAATATTGCTGACTTTTTGGTTCAAGCAGGTCACAATGTGGTATGGTTTCTAAGCAAAACTTTTAAGCTATTTATCAGCGAAATTCAGTGCTGTCTCCGACGAAAGAAA